AGGCATATAGCCTGAATGAAATATAAAGACAGGTTGCAGCTGCTGTTGCTTGCTGTCCCGTCTACCCTGCTGTGGACTGTTTCTGCTCTGTGATACCCCTCTGCCATGCTGCCCTGCCTAGGAGCCAGACTACTATGGACTGAAACCTCTACAAACTGAGCTGAAATAAGCCTTTCTTCCTTTAACTTTGGTTGTTGGGTATTTTGTCTCAGCAACAAGAAAAGTAACTGGAACTAACAAAGAAGAAAACTATATGAGCAAAATTGGCCCTGGAGATAGAAGAACACCAAGAACATGTGGTATCCTGGAAACCACGGGAAGAAAATGTATCTGGGAGGATGAAGTGATCGGTGGTATCAAGTGCTGCTCATGAGCCAAGGTGGATGAGGCCTAGGACATTACCACTGTAATTATAGTCATCTAAATAAAATATCCAAAATTTTACCTTCATCAGAATTGCTAGGAAAACCCAAATAGAGGAAAAGAACTATGATAATGTTGTGTTTTTTTTCTTGCAAGATTAGAAATCTGTGTTGCCTACCTAGTCTCACATCTGTTATTTAGAAAATTGGGGGCATCATGTTTTCAAATCTTTCACAAGATCAGGTGTTACCCTTATCTCATAAAAAGAGAATAATGTACATAAAGATTGCTTAAGTTATTATTAAAAATGGGCAGAATTGGGACTTAAAAATATGTCTTCATGGGCTAGGTATGGTGTTGCAAGCCTGTAATCTCAGAACTTGGGAGGCTGAGGCAGGAGGATTGCTGTGAGTTTGAAGCCAGCCTGGGGAACATGGTGAGTACAAGGCCAGCCTTCACTACACAGTGAGACCCTGTCTCAAAAAAGAAAAAAAGTGTTAATATAATTTAAAATTTTAATTAAAAAAATAGCTTTATTGAGGTATATCTTTAAGCACAAGAAATTGTACTTAAAGTACAAAATTTGGTAATATTTTATGTAGGTATATACCTTTGAAACTTATTAATAAATTAAGACTGAATATATCTATTACCTTCAAAATTCTGATTTTTTTTGTGTGTGTGTTATCATCTCCATCCTACCACCAACACTTTATCTTTAAAAATGAAAAAAACTTCTCATATTTCCTCATATAATATCTAAGGCTCCTGACTCCATTATCCAGGCCCAAGTATCCACCTGATATTGTTTTGCTTTTATGTGAAAGACCTTCTTTAGTATTTCTTATAGTATAAGTCTAGGAGTAATAAATTCTTTCAGATTTTATTAATGTCTACAGCTTTTTAAAAATTTTACTTCCATGGAGAAACAACCCTTCTTATTGCAAAATAACCTTTGTTTCTGAAAGATACTTTCAATGGGTATAGAACTCTGAATTGACAGTGGATTTTTGTGTTTTTCAAAGTCTTTTAAAGACCTCTTCATTGTATTCTCTCTTGCACCACTTGTACCTTAAAGCCTGGTGTTACTCCCCTTTATGGTCCTGTCTGTGTAATGGTGCTTTTTTCTTCTGGATATTTCAAGACTGTCCCTTTTATACTTGTTTTAAGCAATCCGATTATGATTTGTCTTGAGGTTGTTTTCTTCAGGGCTTTTAACTTGGGGTTTGCCAAACACTTCAGAATTGTGAAGATGTAATTTTCATCTTTTGGAAACATTTCACTCTTTATTTCTTCAAATATTTTTTTTTGTACCATGCCTTCCATGTTCAAGGACACCAATCACATTAAAATCATACCACAGCTCACTGAAAAAAGTCATCTTTTCTCTTTTTGATTTTCCGTGTTTCTGTTAAGATGATTTCAATGTTGTTTTCAAGTTCACTGATCTTATCTTCACCAGTGTCTAATCTACTTTAATATCTACCACTGTGCTTCCCATTGCTTTCCTTGTGAACTTCAATTTGTACTGTTTATATCTTCCATGTCTCCCTTTAACATGCTGAATCTGTCCTCTAGTTTACTCAATATTTAGAATACAGTTATAATAAAAACTTATGTTCTTCTCTATTAAATCTATTACTGGTGTCATTTCCCTTTTGTTCTAATTGACTTTCATTCTTACTATAAATTGTATGGTCTTGTTTCTTTGCATACATACTAAGTTCTAATAAAATATACAGACATTATATATTTTATTCTGTTGGGTGCTTGTTATTTTTCTATTGCTTTTAGTATTATGAGCTTAGTTTCACTTGGCAGGACCAAAGCTGGATTTATAATCTAGGGATAAATTTGCCCACTACCAATGCATAACTCTTCCTAATACTCTGAAATCCTATAAATTACAAGGTTTTCCACTCTGGCATGTGAGAGCAAACACTCCTGTTAACTCTGGGAATCGTTACTTCCAACACTTTCAAGTGGTTCTCTCCCTCCCCTTGGGGAGTTTTCTTGCATCCAGATGCTCGTGTAAGGAATGGAGGCACATCCTTGCACCTGTCCCCTTCCGGATACTTGTGAAGACAAATTACCCTGGCCTCCCTGGACTCCTAGCTCTGTCTCCTAAGTCTTAATGTACATTCCTCTTCCTTTCACTATGCACTGGAAATGCTATATGTGCTTAACTAGGGAAGTTACAGGGCTTCCTTCCTTTTTTGCTAAATCAGAAATCACCATTCTAATGCTCATGTTTGGAAATGTTTTGATTCATATATCTTGTACTTAAAAAAAAATTAGTTGTTTCAGGCAAGAAAGGAAATTTGATCTTTATCATTTACCTTGGTTAGATTTTGCAACATGGACAAACAGTACAACTTGAAGGATCTATATTTTTCTCCTTCTTAAGGTTCTATATATATTTTAAGGATCTATTTTTTTTTTATTTTTCTACACCATAAAGTTGCTCTGTAAATAAATGCTTACAGAATTAAAATTCTTACATATTTGACTGGATAGACTAGAAAGGTTGACGGACATATAAGGCACACTGTGATTTTTAGTACCACTCCAGCAAGTTTAAGGTACCTAAGAGAGACGTGGGTTTAGTACGGAGATAAAAAGTTCTCTCTATCTATACTAGGTTTTAACACGGGCTACTGTGGATGGAAGAGTCAAGAAAGAAAAACACTTTATTTTTAAAAGCATATAAGGCCTTTCTGCTTCTAGTGTGGAGAAATTTTCCTGAGACGGCTTTGAAAGTGTTTGAGATGAAATGTTAGCCTCAGCATATTACAGAACACGCCACGTGGAACCCATGCCGCCTCCTTGGACAATGACTACCAACTTCACTGCTCCTGGCAAGCACAGCTACTGCCCAGACACTGGCAGAGAGGGTAGGGCCAAGGAAAAAGAACAGAGGAGAAATAAAACCATCAAGAAAATGTCTCAGAAAGTGAACATCTGAAAAAGACAGAAGGGGCAAATAGGCCTTGCAACATCCATCATACAATGGTTTTTTTTCTTTCCATTTTATAACAATATTATTTAATAAATAAAGGTTGACCTGTGTGAAAGAATATTAGTTTTGACTTCAGTATTATAGTAACTTTTATAACTGAGTGTAGAAGTTTGTTGGTGTCTGTTGATAGTTACTGTAAATTAGTATTTACCATGTACAAATTCCTTAAAAATGAAGTACTCATTTACCATTTGAGGGACTATGTGCTGAAATAAAAATCTCCCATGGTGAAAGACTTTATTTAGAACATGAACTGTATCCAAATAATGACTTAAATTGGGGTCCTGCTCTACGCAACGGAATTAAGAATTTTCCAAGTTAGGACAGTCCTTTCTGAGGTGAAATGTGTGCCTGGCTAAAAAATGATATAGTACATGAATCATATATGTTATCTTTACTGCTTATTATTTGGAAGAGAATCTGCTCTAGCAGTCTCACAGCAAAATAACTTTAATCAGTGAGGACTTCTAATTTCTGTATCTTTCTTCTGATTTATACATTTGGCATATTGGTAATATAATTACCAGACTTTCTCCAGTTGTTTTTCTCTACCGAGTTTTTTCAAGGTTGTCTTATTATCAAAATGATGTAGAGTATGACCTACTAGTTATAACAGTTTTTTTACACTGACAGAGCATTTCTTTACTTGTATTTTTACTTTATGAAAAAATAAAATCTCATAAAATAATAAAAAACAATAGTTAATACACTATGTATCATTTTCTTCAAAGTAGTTGCTAAGTATAAGATATAAAGCAAAAAGATTCTTGTAAAAAGGAAATAAACAGATAATAACACAAAGCAGGGTTTTCTCTCAATCACATCTAAGAAAATTAAAAATTCATTTATGAGTATTTCAATTTTCTTAGATGTGTTCAGGCTAAAACCATGCAAAAGCTGGTAGTAAAAATGCCAACTACTGTAGTCTTACAACCATTTTATTCTTGCTTATGTTAAGCATAAATGTAAAATATTAAAAATGTCTTACAAGACAATTTGCTTATTGAATAGAATCTGCTTGTGGTTTTTATTCCATTATTTGTTTTAACTCACTTATACAGCAGTGATTGCCCATACTTTTATTTGATAGCTTCAAGGTAAAAATTAAAATTCAAGTTTCTTTTAAGGAATTCTTAAGGTAATAACAGTTAAATTACACTTAATGAACAGTAAAGGAATGCTCAGAGTTTGGAAAATCTACTTAAGCATAGTAGTTAGGATGAAATTAATTATGTCAAAAGCAGAAAGTTATAACTGGAAGTAAAGAATTAAAGGGTATTTCTCCTCTTCAATATTGATTTTTTTCTATTAAACATGATTTGTATGGATGTCTGACCCAGTAATTTTAATTAGTGTCAGCTTTAAACAGCTTATCAATATTTCCTCATATCTGATATGAATTACTTTAAATTTAAAAACTTATCTAAGAAAACTAATTTAAAATGCAACACTACATTCTAGTAAATTTGATACTTCTCATTGAGATAAAAATACACATAGTCCTATTAGTGTTTTAAGATATAGTTTGTATAGAAATACGTGCATCTTGCTGACATACAAAACCAACACGTTGGTACGCCACGTCCCAGATGCAAGGCTGAAGGGCGACACTCTATACCTGTAAAATGCCAGCAGGGCGCTCTTTAGCGGATGCAACCAACAAAGTGTGCCCACTGACAATGCCCTCGGCCAGGAAATGCTTGAAGAGCAGCGGTGAGTAAATATCGTATTTATCCTCCTCTGGAAACAAGAGAAAGACGACAGTCAGAAAGCTGTAAGGCACCAAGCACCCTCGCATGCTTTCGCGGCCTTTCCTCCTTAGAGCAAGGACGTGGGGCCACGCTGTGCCTCCCTCCGGCACCAAGAGGAGACTGTCAGGACAGTCCGTGAGGAGACACTGCGGACAGACTGACTGCACACATCATTCTCCAACCACTGACCGCCCACAGCCACAGAGCTGGGAGGCTTCTGCTCCACGATAGCGTGGAAAACATCAAAGGCTTTCCCTCCGCCGAGACGTGGTGTGCATGCACGCCCAGCGCCTCCACAGCCTGTACACGCCCAGCCCTCTCCTCACGTCCCAGTAAGGACGCACTCCATGCAGAGAGCCTGATGTCTAACGCTTACCAAGTTCACAAAAACAGAATTAGATTCTGTTTCTCATCTCCAGTTTGGGGTTTAAAATCCAATACTATTTTAAATTGAAGACTTTAAAGTGGATAGAATTTCTAAATTTGTACTGTTTTCTCAGTAAATAGTCTTCTGCTTTTTATTACTCCCTTTATCCTTTTTCTTTTCAGAATTGTAACAATTGAACGTTATTCTGCTGCCTGCCGCGAAAGTGCAAGGACCCGAGTTCGATCCCCGGTACCCCCCCCAATGTTATTCTGGAGGTTTCTTGGGCAAAAATATGCCTTAGTTTTGAAATGTCATTAAAAAATGAAAACAGCTTCATACTATCTTCGTCCTCTTACTATTTCTAATAAGCCACATGTCTATACTTTTATATCAGCTTTCTTTCCTTCAATAACTGGAACACAGGGGAAAACCAGGAAAATAGGTAACCACTGCCTAAAACAAGAGCAGTCATTATTAACTTACTGAACAAATATTAACTGAATTCCTATAACACCTTTCATAGTAATTGGCAGTACAGTGAGAGATGAAAGTCGTTAAGAGAAACCCTGAAAGACTCCTCACTCTCCTAAGGATGATGTCACATGACACAGAATGTCCATTCCCTTTCAGTCATTCGGAATATGCACCAAAACAGAACACGTGCTAACCCAAAAACACACCGTGACAGATTTCAAAGCACCGCCCACAGAGTGTGTTCTCAGGCTAAGGTGGAAGGAAAACAGAATTCAATGATAATGCGTTAATTCATAAAAACTCCTACCGCTGAAATCAAAGCACCCATTTGTGCTGAACTGTGGACCAAAACTATACGAAAAGGAAAATCAGAAGATATTTTGAACAAAATTATGGAAATACATAATATAAAAAATGGAGGGGGCGCTAAAAGCGTATCTTAGAAGAAAATCTGTAACTTTTAAGTGCTTAATAAGAAAATTAGAATGCCGTAGTCAATTATCTGTTTTAATTTTTTAAAAGCTAGACAAATAAGCTCATGTAAAATTCAAAGTAAATGATAAGAAATAATAAAGAATAAAAATCAATTAAAAAAAACCCCTGGATCAATAAAAAGGAGAGTGAGAGGGCTAGGAATGTAGCTCAGCACTAGGAGCTCGCCTGGCATGTCTGAGGCACTGGGTTCAATTCCCAGTCATGGAAAACAAAAGAATGGAAGGAAGGAGGAAGCAAGGAAGATAAGTGGCTTGCTTGAGGGACCCTGCCTCCCTGGGCCACACTCCTGACTGAAGAGCCCCTCCAAGGAGGAGCCTAGTGTTCGGGCTGGCCTGTGAGTTTCCCTCTCTGGAGAGGCCGGCTCCCATGCAAGTCATCACCCCAGGAGGCACCTGCTGCTCCCAGTACCTGCAGCAGGCAGCAGGGCACCTGGAGACGGCCGGGGGCAGTTCCGGTGACGCCCCCTCCCTGCACCGCTGGGCTGTGTGGACAGTCTAGCACAGACGAGGCACTGCAGGCTGAGCTTGGGCACCACCTAAGGCCATCCCTGCCGAACCAATCCTGTCCAAAGCTAAAAGCTAAACACCACTGGGCTTTAATGATTTCTGAATGTAGGCAGGGAGAGCCACCCTCGTCACTCGGGTGTCTGGCTTGGCACCTGGGAGATACAATAACCCAGGATCACAGGAAGAGGTGGGTTCAGAAGAGTGGGGTGGACTTTGGAGGCAGGGAAAGGCTGCACACTCAGCTCCAGATGCTCTGGTTTCGAGGCAGTGGCAAGGTATCAGACAGGAATTGCTGCACAAGGAACAGAGGAGGCTCTGGCCCTTCCCTCTGCATCCTACCATGCAGCCCGCCTGGAGATTACGGTTACTTCGACTCCCTGATCAGCCAGCGGAGGCAGGGCTGAGAACCCCTCCCAGAGAGCACTAGGAGAGAGAGCAGGACACCAGCACTTTACGGGAAGCAGGAGTAAGGAGGACCAGAGCAGAATGTGCCAACAGATTCCAAAGGAAGCAAGGGCAACTCCCAACATGACTTGGTCCACAGGTCACAAAGGGCTGAGAAGAACCCTCTGGGTCAGGCAGTGAGATGGCCTTGAGTGACTAACGCGGTTTCTGTGAAACAGTGGTGTCTGCAGTACACTGAGGAACAAGTGCACTACCACAGTACACAAGCACACACTGTACGGAGGCTTGGCCGTGAGAGGAAAGAGGAGCAGCAACCGCAGAGAGAGGCTGGTCAGGATGGAAAGGCTCTGCTAGGCTGGAGGCCTCAAATCAAAGGCCCGGGCCGGGCTTGTGCATGGGATGTGGCAGGAACCTTCAGCCGAGGGCCTTGTGCGAGTCGCTGTGTCCTTGGAGGCCCCGCCTTCACCCCCTCCTCCCACCATTCACCGGATGATGGAGTTGCCACTCTGCCACCATCACGTGCTGCCTGGCCACAGACCCGAAAGCAAGAGGCCAACCTGCTTCAACGCTGTGAGCCCACCAGACCTCTCCTGGAGAAGCGGACCTCCTCGGGTATTTCTATTTTAACTGCAGGCTGACCAATGTGACTACTTTTTCTTTCTTTTTTTCTTTTAAATAAGTCTCACTATACAGTCCAGGCTGGCCTTGAACCTGAGATCTTCCTCCCTCAGAATCCCAAGTGCTGTGGGATTATAGGAATGTGCCACTATGCCAAAGATCTGACCATGTGTACCCATGTGTATGTGGTACACACAGATAAGAACTAATAAAGAGGAAAAGATTAAGATAAGGAGAGAAGAGAGCTTACTATTGACAGATCCTTGGAAAGGTGGAAGGACAGGAGACCTGCTATGGTTTGGATCTACAATGTCCCCCAGTGTCAAATGTCATGTGTCAGAGCTGGGCTTTGGAAGGTGCCTGGATCACAGAGGTGCAAACTTCATCCGTAGAAGAACGCATGGATAAGCTCACACCCTAATGTGCCGAGGGGTGGGGCCTGGTTGGAGAAAGTGTGTGCCTTCCAAGGGTGCATCCTGACCCCAGACCCTCCCTCTCTATTCCTTAGGCTGCCAGGAGGTGAGCAGCATTCCTCTGCCACATCCCTCTCCCATAATGCTCTTGCCTTGGAGCCAGCCAACCATGGACTGAAACCTCTGAACCCATGAGCCCAAATAACTTCTTCCTCCATTAGCTTGCAAGTGTCAGGTACTTTGTCTCAGCAGTGGAAAGCTGACCAATGTAAGACCTCAGGAAGAGGGGAAAGGGTGATTCTCAAACAGAAGATATAGTGTAATTTATCTGTGAACATAGGAAAGCTTTAAGGGTTGATGGTAGGAGGCTTGGCAGATTCTCATCCATTGAAAACATTTTTGTGTGTGTGTAACACTGGAAACCATCACAAAGAATGAAGGAACAAGCAGTACTGACTGATGTTTGAAGGCATGAAAGTTTAAAAGGCCACTGAGATTACTGAGAATAAAAAAGAGGTAACTAGAGCTACGCAAGAGTTTTCCGCCAGTGTTAAGGGCCCACCTGAGATTAGAGATTATGACAGTCTCTAATAAAAGAGTGACATGATTAAGAAGCTGGGATATGGCAGAAATGAGAAGGTACACTGTCCAAAGATATATCTCACCTCAGAAGGGATTTTTTTAAATGAATTATCAGGTTTTTATATAAAATGATTTAATATCAAAGAAATCTGATTGTGAATCTCAGCCATTAATCTGTTTGCCCTTGGGTAAGTTACTTAGTTTCTCCAAAAATTTCAATTGTAATTGAGCATGGTGGTACATATACATAATCCCAGCACTCTGGGAGGCTGAGACAGGGGGATTCCAAGTTCAAGCCCAGCCTGGGCAACTTAGCAAGACTCTGTCTCAAAAAGCATAATTAAATGTTTTTAAAAATTCAATTTTATCACCTGTTAAATGTAGACGCCTTATCTGACTGTAGTGAAATTGAATGGTAAACACATGACTAGGGCTCCACATGATGCCTGGCATACAGAAAATCATCAATAAATATTAAATGTTTCAATAAAGTGATACGATTTTAGGATATCAAGGTTGGTTTTACTTAAAATAGGTGGCACAGATGGCAGGCACATTGGAAAGGTTTGTAAGGGAAGTAAATAGTAGGATATTGAGCCTAAAAAGAAAAGCCACACAATATGGTGGAGATAAGAGCTTTGGAAGAGCTTAATTCTTAGACAACGACCAAAGATAAAGGGGTGAGGCAGGATAGATTTTGTTGGCGCTAAAGTTTAAACAAACACATTCTGGGAGTCCTCTGGAGGTACAGATAATCGCCTGATCTTTGCACACTGGTTTCGGGGTGAGTACAAGAGCCACAAGTTTCAGGATTTGAATTTCACGAGGGAGTTGAGGCCGAGCTCGGCCTTTCCCCCTCAGACGGCCGCCCGGTACCAGCGAGCCGAGCACGCCCGCTGAGGTCCCCGCGCGCCAGCGCCAGCGGCCGTCCCCAAGAGCACGCCTCTCCCCCTGCTCGCCTCAGCTCCGCCCATACTGATTCTAGCTGCATCTTTTCCACAGCTCTCGCATTTGCCTGCATATTCTAGGCATGCTGAGTATTCATGCGCAACCAGCACCTTGCTTAATTCATAAAGAGGAAAAGCCAAGAGTTTTACGGCCTAGCAAGGCCAAGCGCATCCCGCAAACTGAAGTGCTGCTGCACTAAAAGCCACGTGTTTCTGCTGAAGAAGTGCACGGACAGCAGGGTGCCCTCTTTCAGTCCGTTAGTGAAGCTGCAGTACTACTGTACGTGGAATGAAGAATACAAAGCATTAATACAAATCAGATTAGAGAGTTTTCCCAGAACTCCAGTGAGTAAATACTTTGGGTGCATGGGTCACATGCTCGCCACTGCACCTGCTCACACTTGCCCTCGTCCTACACGAGCAGCTGTGGACCGCGTGCAAATAAGCAGGCCTGGCTAGGCCGCTGCAAACTGTCACAGAGACAGGCAGCCAGGCAGCCGGCCAAGTTAGCCGGCTCCCACATAAGAAGGGAAATGCTCAAAATGTGCTGCGTGATGTGGAAGAGAAACAGCCCAGCAAAAAGTGCTGAGGACAACTGACGAGGGAATCCCGTACGAGCCTGTGAGGGAAACCTGGACCAGATGCAAACGCCACTCGCTAAGGTGATCCCATGCTTAGCACCTTCTCATGTTCTGCTTTCCTAGACCCTACCCCGATGGTCACAGGGTGACTCGGTCCTGAGCAAGAAAACAGGGCAAAGTGACAATGTCAACTGTGGACCATGCTGAGACATCTTCCTCTTGGTGTTGATGAAATAAGAAGCCACCTGTGAGCAATCCCGGGCGCGGCCAGCTGGCCAACAGGGCAAGGCCTGGTGAGGCAGACTGCAGAACCCCCCTGTGAGCCTGCAGGGGAAAAGCTACACTGACTTGGGCTTGGTGGCATAGGCCTGGAGTCCCAGCTGTCGGGAGGCTGGGGCAGAAGGGCTCCAAGCCTGAGGCCTACCATGGATACCCAAAACAAACCAAGAGAGGGACCCTGTCCTGGCTGGCACTATGGCTGTGGACGTATGAAGGCATCACTGGTCCACAGAAATGGCAAGAGGTCAAATGTGAGCTGGGATATGCCAGCAAACTGTGTTAATATTCTTCCATGAGAACAGAACTAATCATTAATGCACCTGGCATTAGGCGGTCCTCGACCTACGATGATTTGACTCACGGTGTTTTGACTCATGAAGGGTCCATCAGATGGAACTTGAGGAGCATCCATAGCTGTAACTAACTGTCCAATCGCCCATCAACTATCTGCTACTTACAGAAGTAAAAGCATGTAAATAATACAGGAGCTCACTGAGAATGTCACTTAACTTGTATTTTAATTCCTGACAATTTCTATTGAACCTGTTACATGGTATATGTATGAACAGAAAAAGATCTGGTGTTCATTATCACTTCACTTTTGATACAAATTTACCAAAAAACGATTTCAAAGCCAGGGGTGGTGCTGCACTCACTCTGGGAGGCTGAGGTAGGAGATTCCAAGTTCCAGCCCAGCCTGGGCAATTCAGCAAGACTCTGCCTCAAAAAAACGCTGGAGATGTACCACAGTGTGAAGGCCCTGGGTTCAATCCCTAGAACCACGAATTCTTTTAAAAAAACAATTTTGATATAAAACATCTCAAAGCTTACTACAGCGCTAAAGAATTAAACACGTTTTAATGAGAATCCGTTTTTAAGGGTTTTCCCCTCTGAGAATGGCCTTTCTGCATCCACTCTCCTTGCTTCTGCAGTGCCAAGTGGACGCAGCCTCCCTGGAGTTCACACAGCTGCATCTCTGCTGAAGCTGTCAGCACACGGCGGGGAGGCCACGCTGGCGCACACAGGAGCCACCACGGCTAATGGACAGTCTACTTCACGAGAAAATGCTCAGAACACTGGCAATCTGCAGTGAAAAATTACCAGTGCAAATCATTTTCCCGCTTCACTTTTCTCTTACTTCTGGGATAAAAAATTATGTCTTGGTGCTGAGCAGTACAGCAATGCTGGAGGCTCCCAGCCACTAGTTTTTGATCCCTGTGTCTGTTCATATCTCAGAGCTACTCCTCCACCTCCTGAGGCAGAGTTTACTCACTGTGTAAGTCACACCGACTTCGAAGCACAGAAAAATGCAGAACCCAGCCGAGCAGCCTCCTAATCTGGACACCTCCTCTCATCTCACCCATTTCTATGACAGATATTACAGAGTGGATAATACAGCGCCTCAGTGGTGAGAGAAGGCAGGAAACTGTTGTTCCAGAGCCATCTCGAAGTTAATGGTTAGCTTCAGAGAAAACAGGACTAAAATGTGTAAGTGGCATGATGACAAAAAAAAAAAAATCAATGCTTTACATTTTTAGTAGTAATACACTACAACTATAAAAACAATCTTTAACTGACATATACTTGGAAATCTTATTAGCAGTCCCTGTATATTATTTCACCATTTGAAAGACAAAACTTTCAGATTATAATGGAGAAGTGGTGAGCATGTGAAATATGAATTTTTTCAGTGCTGCAACTTCAATCCTTATTATACATTAATTAAATTAGATCTTTCATGTTTAAAACTTTAAAAATTGAAAAAAAATTTGAAAATTGATTTTAAAAAACACAAATTCTCCGGTGTAGTGCTGTACACTTGTAATTCCAGCTACTAGGGAGGCTCAAGCAGGAGAACCACTATTTTGAGACCAGCCAGAGCAATTTAGCAAGAACTTGTCTGAAAAAATAAAGTTTTAAAAAGGGCTGGGCATATAGCTCAGTGGTAGAGTGCTTGTTTAGTATGCACAAGGCCCCGGGATAAATCCTCAGTACTGCAACAAAACAAAACAAAAATCCCACATTTGTGGACTTTATTTTACTGTTTAAAACTTTACTATTTTAAAAAGGGTTACAACTTTTATTTTACTGCTTGTGCCTGTTAAATAAAACACTTCTGAAAACTATGGAGCAGTTACATAAATACATGGGATCTCGAATCACACCAGAATTCAAATCCTGGTTTTCTCACTATGGATACAGGGAGTTACTTCACCCTTCTAGCTTCATTTCTTTATGAATGAAACAGAGGTGATATGAACTGAGTACCTGGAGAGATTGTTGTATAAATGAAAAATGCATACATAAAGTGCTTAGCATAATACATGACTCCTCCTAGAAGTCAGGGAAAGGGCAGTTGCCTACTATCACTACCCTCCCAGTAGCAAGGAGAGAGGCGGAGTAAGATAGCTCAGGTGGCGGCTCCCAACTTTTCCAGGTGGTGTTTCGCTCGTTATTAGACAAATGCTTACGTACGTGTGACCTTTATGCACCGCCACGCGCCACTCGCATTGTAATCATTCCTGGAGCAAATTTTCTACAATATTTACTACTCGTCTTTGCTACCTTAAGGGTGGTCGATCACAAGGAACTAACTTTCATTCCTGCCCAGCACCAATCAGGTGCCACAGTCTGAGTACGGTGAATACAGCTGGTGTGAAATTCAGAGTATCCTACTGAGTTCTGCCGTGTAAAGAGTCAGACCAGGATCTGAGCCAAGAGAACAACGTGGGGGATCAGGGCTGTAAAAGTTCTAACTCACACAAACCAGGTTAAGAAACAATGCTTCTTTGGAGCAGAATGCAAGTGATAATCTAGCTATCTGCAAATATTTTAAGGATGTCATATGAAAAAGTAGGCATGTTCATTCTGTAATATATCAGAGGACAAAACTACGGATACTAGATATGCTACAGGGCTCTGGGTCAAACAATATAGGGGTGTTTGGTTATGTAATTGTGAAGATTTACTTCAAATCCAAGATTCTGTGATCTACACTAAAAGTAAGCTAAATAGGGATATTTATTTAAATAAGAAATTTCTTTACATATGAACAACAATATGATTAGCTTATTTTTCTTTCAGTAAGACAGTAATGACAAAATCTGTGATATAACTAGAGTCATTTATAGCTAAATGGATGCATATGGAGGCCATACTCTTAAGTGAAATAAATAAGACACACATGTGTAAATACTGAATATTTTTCTCTAGTGTGAGAAACTGAGAGCGTAAATAAGGATTAAAAGGATTAATAACTAATAACTGATACTTTGAAACAGGAAAAGGTCCAAAGGGGTAAGGGTGGTGGGAGGAGATGGGAAAAGGGAAGAATGGAAAGGAAAAATTATGAGAAAAGAAAAAAAAATGGAAATGAAGTCTATGTAAATAGGGAAGAGTGGAGGGGGTGAAGGGCGCAGAGGTAATGGGAAAAAAATAAGAACCAAGATGCATCATGGACAGGTACAAGCACCCAATGATAAATGTAAACATATTGTATACCTAAAATGTACCAATAAAAGAATTTAATGAAAAAAAAATCTGTGATATATATGAGTCTACACATACATACATACACACACATACACACACACACACACACACACACACACAATGAAATTCTCAGTTTCTCAAATTATTCACCAGAATAATTCCACAGTCAATACTGAGATTCTTTGAAAAGTCAACTGCTGTTAATTTTAGACTTTAAAATAGAGCACAATGCACTGTGAACATTTTAAAATTACGGCAATATATATTTCTTTTGGTATGGGGATGGAACTCAGGACCTTGCACTTGCGAGGCAGGTGGTGGAACCACTGAGCTAAATCCCTGGCCAACATTTTTAAATTATAAGAGCTACATTTTCTGATACATTTGCCTAGTTTATTTGAATTTAAGTTCATATTTAGAGCAATTTCTCTCTAATGTATCTTGTTTTCTAGAGAGCTAATCCTTTACTTGGTTTCAGAAGAGAAAAACTCACAAAATCATAATGTACAACATAAAACTAATTGGAAAGAGCAAAATATATATTTTGTACTAACCAATCAAAAGAACTGTTCCAACGGCTAAACCTCCACCTGGAAATAAAACAAAACCAAGAAGAAAATTAATCTACCTTTTGCATCAAAGTTAGGCTTTATCGAGGACAAGTATTTCAATAACTTTAAAACTGCAGTTGCAAACAACATTTTAATTACCTTTTCTATTCTTTGCTCAAGGGGCTATTATGAAATAATTACATATTATGTGTAATTATATACTAAACATTACAATTACTTTCATAATATACTGTACTATACTTTCTCCTGGGATAGAACTGTGCAGCATTCAACGTAACTGTGGTTAAACAATGCAAAAGTTATATTTAGCACTTGCTAATAAATTAACTCAATGGCCAAGACCTACCCGTGCACAGTAACTTTGCTACACAAGCACAACATAGAAAAGAAAGGCTATTGCAATAGAAACCCCACTTTAATATTTATCCTCAAATGTTGTAGGCCTTAGATAAGAGCTGATAATTAATTTTTCTTTAAAAATTATGAATAATGTACACGAAGTCTGAACATATTCTAAATTTAGGATTTAAAATTAACAATATTTTTGTCATTTCAGACAAACCTCATACATTTTCTGCATTACAAGAAAATGTTATTTTAAATATCCGAACTAAGGAAATATAATCATAAATGTATAATTAAAATAGCCAATCATTAAAAATCATTTAACTATTAAGAAACTAGAACTATACACTAAAAAGATGACACAGTACACTGATACTTTTTCATCCCTTGGTAAAAGTCTCAGCAACATTAACAAATTCATTTTAAAATTTATAAGAGCATGTCAACTATTGAATAGATATGTGTTTAAAATGTAATTTAAAAAGAAACTACTCAAATTCCAGCAACAACACACAATGTTGCCGGTGTGTGTTTGTGAACACAGAATTATATAAGAAACATTTACAATACCAATAAAGAAGTTTCCCCAAAAAGTTATGTAGTGGCAAATATCATGTAGAAAAAATATGAAAAGCTCCTCTGAATGTCTTTTAAACCTTGCAAATACACATGAACAACTGTTGTGTTTCAGATAACTTGAAATCTGGTAACACACATATTTCCGGAACAAAATGAAACATGTGGCTTATATGGTGAGACTCGAAATCAATTTTAAAACAATCTGTAGAACACTTCAAATTGTTAGAGAAAGAAATGAAAATGTAGATTTGTAAATCTTATGTTTACATGGACTTATTAGAATACAATATGCATTTTAATTTCACATCTGGACAAACTCCTTCCTTATGGCATTTACAGCATACAGCCTAAAGAGGAGAATTAGCACCATGCAGACAAGATTAGTGCGAGCTGCAACACGTATGAGGACAGCACTCACAGCAGGTTGCCTTTGGACCTGGCTAAGTCTAATTGCACAATTGGCGGCACACATAGGGTACCACAACTCTTAATTCATCTTGCTCATTTTACACCACACTACAATTTCACATTTCTCTAATTTCCCTTATTTGGAAATATAAATATTTAATTCCCTAATATAGCCACTTTGTGTACGTTTAAGGAGATGAAATAAACAACAGTCTGCTTTGGTACTAGAAAGAAGTCGGCCACCTTTCTTAAATCTGTTTCCTTACTTTATTACATTTGTTACAGAACCTCCACAGGAAGTTAAAGGAGTCTGATATTCGCAGTGGGAGAAGCATCCTGATGACATGAAGTGATGCCTAGTACAGCTGTCTGTCTCAGGGGATTATAAGAGGAATGCTTGTCATGCTGGCAATTATTTTCAGATCAGAACAAATCACTACAAGCTTATTGTTATTTGGTATGTGGTGATCACAGCAACAGTGATAATTAGAAAGAATATTTCTCAGTGATGGCAAACTTTTTGGAGACTGAGTGTCCAAACTGCAACCCAAAACTCACTGACTTATCACAAAGTGCCAACACTGCAATTACACCTGAATACTGAGGGTTTAGATAAAACAACTCACGCAGTAACACTTTCGTCTTTAAAAAAACCCACAGTAACACACGTGCCACAGGTTCGCCACCACTGAACTAGCTAGAGCAGATCTGACTACGCTCAGACCATTTTCTGTTAAATTCAGCCAAACAATTATCTGTTCCTGATAATTCAGGAAAACACTGCTCAAAAACTTAAAATCATAAAAATTCTAAGAATGCTTGGAAACGCTGAACATTACTTCATATGAGGACATCTTAAATGACTTTTATCAGCCAAATTAAAATATCAACTCTTCTCATAAAAAAAGCCAAGTTTTCTTTCTAAATGAGCTCTATTATATAAATTCACGATTCAAATTTAGATTAGTTCTAAAAAGGTTGGGTCATGTTGAAGGTTGGTCATGGGGAGGAATTAGCTTATTAATTTAAAGTTTTTTACATTTGTTTCTCTGCACAGGAGGTGAAAATGATTTGACACACACACATAACACACACAGGTAGCAGCAAAGTCCTTCTATTCCTCCAAACTTGATTTTGGTGAGACCAGATCTCACAGTATTTCCCCAAAATATCTTTGATTTTGATATATCTTACTTGATATACCAAGGTTCCAGATGCACGGCATTTTAAAGCTGAAATGAATCTGTAACCATGCCCCTACAAGTAATAAATAAAAAGCTAAAACAACCAACCACAACAGATGTTTAACATGATATACTCCTTGAAAGCTAGCTTTTACCCTATTGAATATAGTCATCCATTAGTAATTTAATCCAACTTTAAAATCAAAGCAGACTTCACACTAATAATTTCTACTTAAGATGGAAATCTTTTCTCACTATTTTACTAGAATGTTTTCCAGATAAATAATGCAGGTCAGGAAACAATTAGCTCATAATCATGATGTAAAGAAGCGGGAAGGGGCTGAGGTGGTCATCCTCACTTAGAAGAAAATCACCAACACGCTTTCAAAGTCAATTAGAAAACTCTGGGTTTTACTTCTAGGCTTCTCTGAAGTATACTGAAACTTGTTTCTAATACTGGCTAAGTATTTTATTTACATGTAAGAATATGTGTTGGAAGGTTGAATATACTTTGAAAGTTTGATATTTTGAAGTACTTATTTCATTAAGATTTTGACTTTTAAAAATAAGACACAGGCTGGGGTGTATCTCAGGCTGTGCTTGCCTAGGATGTGCCAGATCCTGATGTGGAGCCCCACAGCCTCTGTATGAATGAATGAATGAATGAAAGAGCAAGTATTTCTGTAAAAATACACAAGGAAATTTAAGATCATCTTGTGACTGAAACTACCAAGACTTTCCTATCTTATGATTTTAAAAATATAATGAAAAGGGCTTTTGCCATTGGTTTAACTCATATGGGTAGTAGTTAAGACAATGATTTCAGTACTCCCTTCAAGTGAGAAAATTCAATCCTACATATGCCCACCCCTAAACAAATCTCTAATTAAGCTGTAAGTTTTGCGTGAGGTCAAATTAATACATTAGACTATTAAGACCCAACTGTGCTATTTCATTTTTCAAAGTTAGAGAAAGTAATAGGGAAAAGAAAGTCAAGAGAAGTAACAGTGATTTATACCAGTTCTGTCCAGAGCTCTGTATAAAGTGATAATTTTGTTTAAAATTACAGAAAAGACATTGTTTGGAAAATGTAATGTAAAAGACAATCCGTACCTTTACTTCATAGCAATATCCTTAACTGTTTTCTTTTGTAGTGACAGGAGGGGGACTGGGGATCAAGACCAGGCAGGTCCTTTCCCACTGAGCTACATCTCCAGCCTTTTTTTCGGTTGAGACAGGGGCTCCTAAGTCACTAAGTTGCCCAGACTGGGCTTGAACTTGTGATCCTCCTGACCCGTGTATGGGGATGACACCATCAGGCTTCTTAACTACTTAGTGCCATAGCTCAAATTCAATTGCAGTTATTTCATGTTAACACGCCTACCTTTCTTTCCCTGTAAGAAGAAACATTCTGATGAACATGAACATGACAAATATTGGCTGGGCAAATAGAATAAAAAATAAAGGTACTAACGATTAATAGTGATAATGGTTCTCTACATTAAATCACAGGAAAGTTTTACATAGTAATACAAAGGAACAAGTTGGTACAGTAGTGTAACCACAGTACTGTAAATATACAGTACAAATTCAATGCATATCATCCCACACTACAGAGTAAGATAAAGGAAGCAAGCCTGCCATTGTTTACTGTCTGAAATCATGCTGAAAATGGCAGCTACTCTACCAGGCTTCTTCCAGAAACTCTTGTTGGACTCTTATTTAGCCCAAATCCCTATCTGCCATTGACTTGACTGTCAAATTCATAACAGAAGTTAAGCAACCAAATCTATGAAGTCACTGTCTTTTGAGCACCTCCCAGGTTTGCAAAATTTATCTCTTAAAATCTTTCTTTGGAAATTCCTGGAAAAAGAGAAACGGAGTATTTAATAAAGTCCCTTCCTTTTCTAAAATGTAAGTGTTACTGATATATACTATCTTTCCAATGTATTCTGCATCTATGCTTAAAATTACAATGATGTTATTGTGGCAGCAGTAAAATGCCACCACACCACACATTGGTTGTAATACACTAGTTTGTTACACATAACCACTTAATATATTTTGGCAAAAGTAACAATGTCAGTACAGTCTCATCCTTCTGGTATCCTATTATCCTTACATTTTGTCAAAACAGGGCATGTACTTGTGAGCCTGGTTACAATCTGGGTCAAATAACATTTTAGAGTAACAATGTAGTCTCAATTGCCTATACTTTTATACATTATCAGTCAAATGTTTCTGTTTCAAATAATATTTTAATAAAAAATAATATAAACTGCTCCATAGGACCATACATAACAGAAAATCGAAACAAAAATATCATTAAGACTTTTACAACAACTGAAATAGTTGTGGACATATTTATTATTCCAAATGTAGTAACTGCTATTATAACAACTTCAAATTCTGGGTACTTTGATAATTAACTGCATACATGCAGAATATATTTCAAAATATTGAATAACAGTGGTTCAATTGTGTTAATGAATACTGCTTTTTAGAATAAGCTTGCTACAGTCAAATACTAGAGTGTGCCACTCCCCAAGCAAAACTGGAAGGTTTAAACATTATTTTTCAAGTTTATATCTCTAGAAATACATGTGGAAGGTGTTTTGAGTTTTCTCTGGTGGTCGCTCAAAGAGACTATAGTTCAATCATAAATTTAGGCTCAATAAATGGTCAAAATGCTATGAAAAGTTGTCAAAAATCTGATAAAGCTGTAATATGGTTCAGAAGGCATAAATCTGAACCCTAAAGAGCAGCCTACATGGTTACAAGTTTAGGGACTGTCATATCACTTAATTTCTGAATCTGTTTCTACAGCTTAAACTTCTACCTCCAGCCTACAAGTTCCATCAATTTTTCTACCCACCATTTTTCTTTGAACAAGAACTTACTAAGAACCTCCTAAATGTCAGAAATTGTGCTAAGCACAGTTTCTCATTTTAATGAGGAATGAAGATATAATGCCAAAGATATGGGCTTTTTGTTTGGAGAGTTTCAGTATCAAAATGAATGAAGTTACATATCCCCACTGAATTACAAAAGATAGACGGGCATGATGGCATTTCATAATCTGAGAGGCTAAGCCTGGAAGACTGCTAGTTTGAGGCTAGCCTGGGAAACTGAGATGCTGCCTCAAAATAAAAAAAATAAAAATACGAAGCGAGGCTTACAAAGGTAAAAAAGTGAAATGAATATTTGTTAACTATATATTTTGAATTATATGTTTTTAGTACCATGCAACTCAAGAGGATATCAGACTTGAAAAAAATTACATGAAAATACCTAAATTTATGCAGAATCAGGATTCAGTTAAGATATGAAGAAACAGACTTAAGGAGCCATACTCTCTCTAGAAGGCTGCTTGTCTTACTACTTTCCTCTGTACTAAGCATATTTGAAAAGCTGGGGAGAGGGGTGGATTACGGTGAGAAATGTCAAGCGAAGTACAGGAACAAGCAATGGCATTGGTAATACATTACGAACGTGTACCGGATTTAACAGACACATATCCCACATTATGAAAAAAGTTATGAAATAGACACAACAGTTTTAATGCAGCAGCATCGAGATAAAAATTAATCTACAAGCTTTATTAACACAGCAGCTCTGTCCAACCAATCTAATCTGATCAGCCTTTCAATAGAACAGTTAGGCAACAAGCATATTTTTCAATAAGCGTCTCATGAAAAATTCCAGAGACAGCCTAAGAACTGGGTTTCTTTTTCTCATTACGGTATAGATTAAATTTAAACTTGTCATTTGGTGGGTAGCAGCGATCATCTCCAGGAAGCAGGCTGTACATGGAAAAAAAATACCAAACACACGCACGCACACATACACACTTAACGCAGATGGGGTTGACTACCCAGGACAGGCTTCAACTAGTACTTTGCCTCAATACACCCAGACTCTTTGAGCCAACGTGGTTTGTTTTACAATCTCAGAAGTTAAACAGCACGGCGATGAAAGGGGCAAAATGCTTTTTTGTAGCCTTTTCTAACGATGCCTTTCTGGCCAATGATAAAAACTTTTGTAGGTTGGCCCAGGCGTGAGCTGCCTGGGGCTGGTAGGAGGTGGACTCGGAGACGGGCGGGAGTCCTAGGAGAAGCCAGGCCTTTCGCCTGATCAGCGGTTCCCTCCCACTAGGAAGCGCGGAGGGTGAAGTAGGCTGCCCGGCCGGCGCAGAACCCGTGCAGCGCACAGCTCCGCGGCTGCACGCGGCCGCCCTTCCTCCCGCACGGCCCAGCGAGGTGTGCGGCCCAGGCCGCTCCCCTCCCTCGGGGGACCCAGATCTCCGTCTGAACCGACCTAAGAGCTGGTCCAGGGCCGGGAGCCCGGTGGAAACCAGCAGCTGTCCATTCCGCACCGACGGCCGCGTGCCCGCAATGGACACCAGGCGAGGGCCTCTGCCATCGGCACCGCCGGCCCTGGGACCCCTCCTCTGGAAGCTGGTGGCACTGCTTCTGTCGGCCGCCGCCGCCACAGACCCAGGACTCCCGGCGCCAGCACCGCAGGTTGCCTTAGCCGCTGCCGCCATCTTGGAGCGTCCCGTGAGTACCCAATAGGAAGTCTGGGAATGAGAGTAGCCGGCCAATCAGAGCCCGGGCCAAAGTCCCGTCTCCTCTCCTTCCCGTAGCCAGTAGAGCTGAGACTTTCTTCCCGAGCCTACCAATCGCAAGAAGTATTATTGAAAGGTGCGCACTACGTAAGGACGAAAGTCTTTTGCAGGGCGCAGGTGAGAGCCGCCCCTGGAGTCTGGGCTGAGCTGGGCCTTCCGGGGTCCTTTCGGGCTGGAGGTGGGTATGAGCCTCCCGTGATCCTTCAACCTCGAGAGCCTTCGTTCGCGGCGGGTTTCAGGAAGGCGGGCGGAGCGGAGAGCCCTGAAGGGTCTGGCGAGAGCCCCGCGAGCTTGCCTCCCTGCCCCGGAGAGAGAGGCCCGGTGCCTCTTCTGGGCCCGAGAAGCCGCTCCCCTTCCCGTCTCCGGAGATGGCGCGGCTCCGAGGTCGGGGCTGCGGCCCTGAGGAGCTGCTTGCGGAGCGGCGGCGGGCGGGATGGGGCCGGAGGCAGGCGCGCGGGACGGCCCTGTGCAGGGCTCCGCCGCCTCCGAGCTCGGCGGGTCGGTCGGGCGCCTGGCCTCGGCGTGCGCAGGACCCTGTTCCTCTGGCCACCTTGCCCACGCACTTATCGTCCTTGGCTGTTAAACCAGCTGCCAACAACAAAACACTTTCGGTCTCCCCCAAAAAGAAACATAAAAGAAGTTAGATGTGTGCGTACTTAGATATTTGTGCACTCTGAATCGAAAGCTTCCTCACTATAATATGAATCTTGTGCACGGAAAAAACGTAGTTTACAGCTGTGTTTTGGATTTAAATATTTTTTCAAACCTGAATTGGGAGGGGGAATGGGTAAGTTATTTTTATTTTTTTATTATTATTATTATTATTATTATTACTATTATTATTATTATTTTGGTACTGGGGATTGAACTCGGGTCCCTGCGCTTGTGAGACAGGCGGCAGAACCACTGAGCTAAATCCCCGCCCCGGTAAGTTATTTTTAAATGCTTTCGTGATTGACAGATGTCTGAACTAAAAAGGACTCCCAGATCTTGCCTGCACCACTACTTTACTGTTGACTTTGACAGTGATACTTTGTAGTTAATTGTTTGATTGAGAAACAAGGGGTTGCTACTGTGTTTCCCAAGCTGGCCTCTAGCTCTGACTTAAGCGATCATCCTGCCTCAGCCTCCCAAGTATCTGTAACTACAGGTACATCGCATTGTGCCCTGGTAATAATACCTTTTAAATATATCCCTCATTGGAATTCTTGCATCAAATTGTTTTAAATGTCTGACCTGTTGAAACTTTTGACTGATTCTGTTTGATAAATTGAAATTAGTATTGCTAAATAATGACTGGAGTTTTGGGTTTTGTTTTGTTTTTTCCTTTTATGAATTATATTCAGAAAAAAATACATTGCTGGTTAGGAATCTGTCAACTAGAAAACTTTGATCAATGTTGCTTTCATTTCACAGCTTTCATCAGTATAAATCTTTAGTGTAAATTACTCATAACTGTTGAGTGATTAACATCTGCTTAGATATATCTCGTCATTTTAGACATAGAAAACCATATTTGTTGCACTTAAACGGAAAACATTAAATAGTCGAGGCTAATTTTGTAGTGTAGTATATAAGCACTAGGGCGACCAAAAGAAAAAGTGATAAATTCTCCAGTATCAAATAGAAGCTTCTTGAATATTTTTGCCAAGACTTTGAAATATTACAGATAGTTAAATTTATAAGTTGCTGTACTATAGATTTTCTTAGTTCCTACTGTATTTATGTTACCTCTTTGTTTTCTCCAGGCCATGATAAGTGATGGTTCATTTACCTTGTTACTAGAAGAGTTATTTTACAGCTCATGTAATTCAGGAAGCATGACATACCTAGCAAGGTATTCATGAAATTAGGGTATAGGTCTGGTATAGCACTATTATGGCGTATATTTCTTTAATCTCTGTGGTTTTTTTTTAACAAAAACAAAACTTTTGCTGCCAAATGATTACATATAATTGTGTGCCAAATTATAGTAAAACTCAGTATGAAACATTGGAATAAAGAATTCATGGGAGGGAAAAGTTAGAATGGCTTATGTTCAGGTGTGCCAAAACGCGTTCTAAGAGCTCGGGTTACAGGAGAAAAATATTTAGTCTCTGCTACTTGCTTTCACGGATGGGAGGGACAGCAGGTACATGGGCAGATACAGCATGCTGGGAGTGCTGCAGAGGCCTAGTGTGGCCTCCTGACTCCAGTGAGAGAGGAGCTTTGCTGAGTTTCTCAGCTGAGCCTGAGTTTGACAGGGTGTGCAGAAGATAGAATAGTAAAAAGAATGAGGTGTCAGATTTTTTTCTTCAAAAAATCTGTGTCCGTGCTTCTGTGTGAGTCGCTCCTATGATTTCTATGAGTGGATTTTCAAATACGTGTGCAGAACTTGGGATTGAGCCTAGGACCCTGGACACAGTAGGCAAGCGCTCTGCCCTGGCCTGCGTCGCTAGCTCTACAAAGGAGGGTTAAGAGAAGAGGACACTGCAGAAGTTAGGCAAAGGGCTGATGGATTTGGTTTTCCCCTTAAGGACAGTGAAAAATGAGAATCATTAAAACGCTGTAAAAGAATGACTGATTTTTTTGATCCTTATGAAGGGAATGGCTAAACATGCTAGAAGAAAATGAGTGGCCCTACCTGGAACTGGGACAAAGAGAGCAGGGTGAATGAAAAGATCATTACCAATGGGGAAAAAATAAGAATCAAGATATATTATGTAAAGGTACAAATCTCCAGTAATGAATATCATTATATTGTATACCTAAAATATACCAATAAAATTATATATAAGAAAAGATCACCAGGGGTGGAATTGACGTGACCAAGGGAAGATAGGGGGTGAACCAAAGGTAACTGGTAAGATTCCACCTAGAGCAGCTTGGTAGATTATGGAAGACAGAGAATAAAGGAGGAAAAGCAGAACTGAGTAGTTGTGATGTTGGTTGTTTTGGGGGAAGGGGTCATAAATTGAGGTTTTTTAATCTGTTATAAACATGTTTAATTTGAGATACAGTACTCATGGAGTATGCAAGTTAAATGGTTCAGATTTGAAATTATTAAACACATACTGGCAGTTGATCCCTAAGGAAATGCATATTTTATAAGAAAAAGAACCACAAATAAACTGGGGAACAGCAACATTTAAAAGTTGGGCAGAGGAAAATAAAGTAAAATAAGGACTGGAAAGTGTTCAGTTAATAATGAAGGTTTATGTTATAACTGCTAAGGTAGATTTTTCTGGAGTAGTCAATTTAAAAGTGAAATACTGTAATTGTGTTTAGATGAGAATGGCAGGTGAAGTGTAATACCCCATGGAAGTAGAACATTGTGCATTTTAGAAAGATCTGCTGTGAAGGGAAGCGGATGATGAGAAAGGCTATTGGTTGTGCTTTCGTCGTTGAGGGAGAGAACGGGAAGACTGAGGAGAGATTCAGAAGGCCATGAATGAGGGACAGTGGTGCCTTGGTGCTTGTTAACTGCTTCCTGGAGGCACAGTGAGTTCCGAACTAGGAGTAGGTAGTCCTGAAGCAGTGGACGCCAACCAGAACCAAACAGAGTCCGATGAGTTTGAGGGCAGTGGAGTACCAAGGTCTGACTAAGAGGAGGACTCCAGGCTTCAGCAGAGAGATCAGTATTTGAAAGGCGGGGTCATTCAGTGGCTAACAGGAAGGGCTTTTCTCCTCCTTTGTGCCATTAAATCTTAGATCTCATAAGACCATTTTTCTCTTTCATTCCATCATCTGCTTTCCTTCACTCCCCCCTCCCCCATTCCAGTTACTATTTATAGCCATAGCCCAGGTCACATCTGTGATCTCTAGAACTCTCATCACATATTTTACTTTTCATCATTGTCTTGGGGACTGAAACCAGGGCCTTTGCACTGAGCTATATTCCAGCCCCTTTTATCTTTAGTTTTGAGACAGTCTCACTAAACTGTTGCCCAGGCTGGGCTGGAACTTGCAGTTGTCCTGAGTCAGTTTTCCAGAGTGCTGGATTATGGGCGTGCAGCACCACAACCATCCTGACTGTCCTCTGAATGCCTGTGGGCCCTCTGCCTCACGCCCTCAGATGGACATCGGGCACCCTTCCCTGCCAGCAACCAGTTTAAGGTGTACCAGAGAGCATGCAGTGGCTGTAGTAAGCAGCCACCCCATGATGCAAATGGGCTCCCCTTCTGTCAGGTTTGCAGTGGCTCCCACAGCCCTGGGGTCGGTATTACAGTTGTGTCTGGGCAGGTAAATTGCCTGAGAGACTGGAGGCTCACTACTGGCCCTGCTGGGATTCTGGCAGCACCTTTGGAGGAATGAAGGTCAAGGTCATGCCTGCACCTTACCTGTAAGGTAAGGACCTCGGTAATCTTTGTCTGCCTCTGCCTGTCACTGTATTCACCTAAGGAAACCAGAGCTTGAGTTCTAGCATCACAGTGTTTTGCCTGTTTCCTACTTTATATAAGTAAAGCCAAACAGTGTATATTCTTGGCATTGACTTCTTTTGATGAATGCTGTGTTTAAAGTGTATCGTTATGGATGATTTATTGCTGCATAGTATTATGTTAATGTATCTCATTGAAGGAGATTTGGCTGTTTCTCGTTTGTGGCCCACTGCTTTTGTAGCACAACTGTACCAGCGTACACTCTTACTGCTAGGCTTGGAGAACTCCTGCTGCACTCAGTCCTGAGCAGCACTGAGCACCCTCATCGTGCTCACTGTTCATGGAGCCTTGAAGTGCAGATGGCCTAGAATTTGACGGATGAACTTGAGCCCTTGCTCAGATGTTTATTGGCCATTTGGGGGTCCTCTTTGATGAAGGATCTGTCCATGACTTTGCTAATTTTTGAAAACTGGATTTTTTTTTCCTCTGTGAATTTGTAAGAGTTCTTTTAATATTTTCAGTAAAAGCCCATTTTGAAGTAAATGCATTGCAAGTGTCTTCTGTCAGTCTGTGGCCTGCCTCTCGGGTCCTTGTCTTTCTGTTTCAGTCAGAGTACACTCTGACGTCACCTCTCAGAGGCAGCACTCGGGGCCAGGTGTGCCTGCTCCAGGGTCCAGAAGGGGACTGTGACTCTGCTAAAAGGCCTGCTGCTCACCTGGAGGCTGTGACAGTCATGTTCCTGTGTCTGTGGTAGGGCTGGCGAAAGGTCTCTTGTCTCCTTCTGTGAGGGTCCTGAGCCTCACGCCCCACGGGAATGAGG